CTCAGAAAAGGTACCCATTTTTTTTTTACAAAATACAAATTCAATTATAAAATACATTTCAAGATCTGCATATATAAAAAATACATATAAAATATGTATTTTGTGATGCAACACACCCTAAAATACACGTTGGTATCCAATGCTATGCAACAGGACTTCCATTCCCTCTTCTGCTCCCAGGGGCGCCGACTTATAAAAAATATTGGGGGGGCCCATACTGGGGTCCATACTGGCAGCAGGATGGCAGTGGTGCTTTTGCATGCAAGAACCGGCCTGCCCTCCCCAGGCTTCGCGCCGGGAGGCGGCCACCCCCTCCTACCAACGTCATCTTAGCCGAACCCAGAAAAAAAGCCCCGCTCCGGCGGCGGGAACACCCGTCCCCTCCATTCTCCCCTCACCCCGGTCCCTCGCCGGCGACGAATACGCCGTTCCTCGGCCCCGCGGCTCCATTCCTTTCTAAAGTCCCGCCGCTGGGGGTCTTCCTCTGACTGACCGACCTGCCCGCCCCTTCTCAGGAGCTCCCGGTCACTTTGGGAGGCGCGCGCCGGAGTCCCCTGCACGGTTTTTGGCAAGGTGCCTAATAATTTTCTTAAATTATTGGGGGGGCAGAGCCCCCCCAAACGAATTTTTGAGGGGGCTCGGGCCCCCTCAGGCCCCATGGAGTCGGCGCCTATGTCTGCTCCTGCCCCTCAACCCACAAATTTGCTCCAGAGCTTATTTTGAGGGTGCTGGGGTGGGTGGCAGGGACAGTAGAGGAAGTTCCATTGCATGCATTGAAGTGCTTTGCACCAGCAGAGCTGCAATGGTGGAATTTGCTCTGATGTGATATAATTTGCACTGCTCTGTTAGAATTCCTGCTCCATGATCGCAGTCATGGGATTGTTGTCTATCACATGACGATATATGTTTTGACTCCACAGAGTGGGAAGTGACAGGATGTTTGTGTTACTGTGCTCTATGAAGTGGGACTATTGTCCTTGTTCTTTCTCTTTGCTGTCTGATGCTAGAGAGAGAGGGAGCCATGTTGCAGTGCTCTGTGTGTGTTTATATGTAAATAAAGTAGATTAGCCAAAATGCTGAGTTGCTGAGGTCTGTTATGCAAGCTGCGAAGACTCTGCGGATCCCTAAGTGTGCCGATGTCTGTTGGCATCGGTCGCTGTGATGTTCAGGGTGAAGAAAGCTTTTGAGGCTCCCAAATGATCGACCAGGAGGGAGAGAACATGCCAGTCGGGAATGTGTCTCTACCAGGGTCCTACTCGAGTGTAGGACGAGCTCCTGACATGCTCTAGTCACTGCAGCTGAGCTGAAACTTTATTATTACTCACAAAACTTTATCTGTGCTGATATGTGTGGCAAGCACAGCCCCAATTTGTTTGCAGAGGTGTGATGAATTGGACCACAGAAAAGAAGGCAACCTTTGCTTCAGATGTTGTGGGAGATTTCAGAGAGCGGGCACACCAAATTATCTTTTCATATTCATCAAAGAATATTAAATCTGGGGAAAAAGTTCACCACTGCACATCCAGACAATGGAAAGGTCTCCTGAATGATGCTCTCTGAAAATGTAATTTCCCTTGGTTTATGTTTTTTTCCTCCTTCTTATAGGGTTTGGAAAATAGCAATGTTTTAAAAGTTGTGCTTTTGTGTTGCTGATAAATATCATCCAATAACAATGTTCTTTAGGCAAAGAATGGACCGTGTGAGATGGCAGACTGATCCAGACTGTTTCATTTCTTTTAGCTTTATTAGTTTTTAGATAACCACAAAAATGAAGCTTGCCATGTAAATATATTAAATGACCTGTCAACTGCAAACAGATTTTTGTGCACGAGAATGGTCTCAAGAATTGATTAACAGAATTGGTTAACACTATCAAGGATGTGTTTTCGACATGCAACATTTTACCCAAAGGGTTCTGATGGAGTATTGGAGAAGTGTTCTGGATAGCAAGCCAAATGGCTTGTAATGAAAAGCAGAAATCACTGTCACCTGGATAAGGGCCAGTTTCGCATTGCCTCTTATTTTGCACCACAGATCTCACTCCCTTGGCCTCTTTCTATCCACATGCCATGCTGCTCCTTCTACTCCCAGCCACGCTGTCTCTTCCAATAGTTCCTGTTGAAAGTCACCCTGGTATAGTGGTTACAGTGTTGGCCAGGGACCTTGGGAAGTTCAGCTACGGTAGCTCTTGGAACACCCCAGCTAGCTCTCAGTTTCCAATCCTCAAGGGGCTTAGGTGATCAACCACGGAGTTCAGGAAGCATGAGATCATGAGCTAGTGGCTAGCGGGAGGGGGGGGACACAGCTGGGCCTACCTATCTGAAGATTTGTAGGATTAATCCCCTCTTGAGGGGCTACAATGCCTCCAAATGTCAAGTACCAATTGCAAAAACAAGCAGTTCATTGTTGCTTTGATTTTACCAATGAAAGTCAATGGGAGGGCTGAATATTTGGATTTCCCACATCCTGGGAACTATAGTTTCTTAAGGGTGCTGAGTGCTGTTAGGAGCTTAAGAAAGCCCTGTGCTTCTCATGGAGCTACAATGTTCAGAGTTTCCTGGGGAGAGAGAGATTGGCTGTTAAACCACTGTGCTTATTGTAGCCTTACGAAAGGAATAGGATTCTCCAAGCAACTCTCAGGACCCTGAACAAACAGCAACTCCCAGGATTCTTTGGGGGAAGCTATGACCATTTAGAGTGGCATGATACATCTTTCATTAGAGGAGGCAATGGCTCCAAGGACATGGACTGCCAGGGAATTCCTGCTTTGGGTGTAATATTTTAAATTGTGATTTTTATGAAAATAATGCAAAACAGTACCAAGAAAAAGATTTTAAAAAGGTCAAATCAAATAGGATCAGGATGAAATACCCCGCAGAAAAAAACACCGTATCAGGTATACCATAGATTACATAAATTAATCACAATTAATTCGGTAAGGCTGAGGGAAGAGACTGGTACAATTGTTCATTACAGACATGTAAGACAAAGCCCCACCATACAGTGGTAAAAGAGCCCACAAGATAGCTCAGTTGGTAAATCATGAGAGTCAGGGCTGTGGGTTTGAGTCTTGCATTGGGCAAAAGATTCCTGTATTGCAGGGGGTTGGACTAGATGACCCTCATGGTCCCTTCCAACTCTGCAATTCTCTGGTTCTATATTTCTCTGTGGTTTATCCACATAATATCTAAGTAAGTCCAGTTTAGCTTTTCCAGCCAAAAATCTAATACGCCAAGTGATTCCCCCCCCCCAAAGCACAATGTACCACACATTTTGTCGCTAAATAGAGATAGTGATATTGGCTAATGTTTTCCGGCCAACCGTTGTTGTTATTTGTTATGTTTTCATCTTTTAGAGATGCAGCTTTAGGTTTTTAATTATTGTAAAGATTTTTTTTCTGATGTTGCATAACTGCCATGGTTTCCTATGGGAGGACGGGTGAAACAGAAAATGCATAATGTTTATGCAAATACTAATATTTTAAGCTTAAAAGCAACTGGAGAAGGAGTAGAATTGGGTTGTTTATTTATATTAAGTGCTATAAATTGTTCATAAACCACCGAAATCTCTCTAGCATTTACATAAAAATGCAACACTGGTGTTCAGTGAAATCTCCAAAAAAACCCACAACTAGATTGAAACCAGATTAAAACAGAACAAAACAGTTAGAGATGATGGGAACTGTAGTTCAACAATAGCTGAAGGTCACCACATTGATGACCCTTGACTAAGACCAAGTATTCAGTGTTCTTGCATGGAAAGCTCTGAAAGGAATAATATTAAGCCAGGAGTGGCCAGTCTTTGGGGGCCAGTGGGCACATCTAGAATTTTAAGGAAGTGCCATGGATGCCAATCAGAAAATGGCTGCTGTGGGGGGGTAGCTTGACACAAAACGACTTCTGCACAAAAAGAGACAGGAGTACAAGACACATACTGCTCAACTGTCCCAATTTGAGTAGGACACCCCGGAATTACAGAAGCCACCCCAGCTTCTGATTGGAACCTGGAATGTCCTGTCTTTTGCTCTGGTGTGAGTCAGCCTGCTTGCGCCAGAGCACTGGACCAAAGGATGCTCATTTTTGGGTCTCATGCTCTTGCATGAGTCAGCTGGTTCTCATGAGAGCTTGGGACTGAAAAATGAGTGTCCCGATTTTGATCAGCGAGATGTTGGAGAGTATGAAGGCGGCATTTGCATGCCCTCATCATCCCCCCACCCCCATGGGGAAAAGGCACCTACATCATCCCCCACTGTCCACACTCACAGAGAAAAGCTCACAGAGAAAACCTTTCCTCACTTTAGAATGCAAGGGAATCCAATCCTAGTGTGTCCAATCCTAGTGCATCCAATGTGGGCATGTCTGAAAGGGTATGTTCAAGTGTAGGAGAGGCTGAACCAGTGCAAACAGGATGTGAGCAGGAAGAGTAAACCGTCTCTCATGGAATGAGGATTTTGGGGGAGCTATATATGTACTTTTGCAGGCACCATAAGAGGTACTGGCAAGCACAATGATGCCCACAGGTAGCCCATGGGCAACTCTTGCATTAAGCAGACAAGATTAGTCACAATCCAGCATGGTTAGGTAGTACTAGGCCCATTGGTTAAGCACATCCAAGCTGAATTGTGACCATACTTTCAAGAAAAAGAAAACAGTTCTACCTATGAAATAAGCACCAGTAACAAAACACACAAAAGCTTTCCTGTGAAATGTATTTTATATTATCTAAGATTTCAGGAAATACATTTAATGCAACCTTCTAATCCTGCATGTAGCATTTCTGTCTGTATTCTGAATGTTCCCTGCTATTCTGAAGCAAACTTCAAATCACCACTCTAATTTTAATAAAGTCCGTTTATCGTGATCCTCTATTGATTATGGCATGCATTTACAGTGGAGCTCAATTAGCTGATTACTAAACTGGAAAAAAACAAAAAAGCATTGGAGTATGGATGGAATCAATTTGCATGGTATAATGGATTGTGACCTTTCCCTCTTTTGCAGAACCATTAGATGAGCTGAAGATCAGGAGCCACAGCACTGAGCCACTACCAAAGCTGGAAAACAAAGAGAGAGGAGGTCACCATGGGGCATCTTCCTCCAGAGAGCCAATAAAAGCTCAGGAATGGGATGGCACACCAGGACCACCGCTTGTGTCTAGCAGACTCGGAAGGTCTTCTGTTAGTCCAACCATGTTGGCAGGAAATAATAGCTCAGGTAAGTGTGAGTACAGAAGAAAATAAATAAATATGCAAGGGCTGAGTTTCTAGATCAGGTGCAATGGGCTACCTAGCAAAATTTGGGAAGTACTAGTTAATGAGAGATTAATGACGCGTGAGCCTTTTGAGCATTTTGTAGGAATGCAAAAGGGGTCCAGTTGAGTGAACAGAGGATAAGAAGCCCTGCAAGGACTCTCCTTAAGTGGATATGATGCAAGAAGCCCTATTTCCTGCTGAGGATCATGGGACTTCTTGTTTTCTCCCATGCAAAATGAAGCCAGGCTTTTGGAGTGGGGGGGAGTTTGAGCTCTCGCCTTGGACGTTTCACATTGTCCTTATGCAAGAATCCAAGGTGGCATGCTATTAGCTTCATTGATCCAAGATCAGCAGCTTTCTTATCGGGACTCTCCTACATCAGGGCGTGAGAATGCGACAGTGGTTTGGTCCCGTAGAAAGAGAAGCAAAATAGGTAAGGCTATTCCTGCTGTGTTGAACAACTTCTTTTGTTTGTTATATAGTGCTACTCCTGTGCTGGTCCCAGAACACCAGAGACAAAATAGGTAAGGTGATGCATCTTGCTAAAGTGACTTCTACCTAAATTAGAAGACTGAAAGCTTACACACACTCACCAATGGAAACTGGTCCAGCAACAGGTAAGTGTGTTTCTTACATTGTGTATCAGTTCTATTGCTGAGTGTGTCTAAGCTTTCCTCCCAACCCACCACCGTTGTAGGCCCTCCTCACACAAGACTGTCGCAACAGCAGAATGCAAAGCAAAGGGCTTCCTAATTTTGCACATTGCAAGAGTGCTGAAGTTTTAAAGTCAGTCAGTTACATTCCAGATAGGGTGGTCAGGTGTCACACTTCACAGAGGACTATACTCTGAAGCAAGAACGGAAGAACAAAGGATGAGCCTTCAGGATCAGGCCAGTGGCCCATCTAGTCCACCATCCTGTCCTCACAGTGACCAACCAGATACCTATGGGAAACCTGCCCGGGAGATCTGAGCACAACTTCACTCTCGCTTCCTGCTCTTTCCAGCAGCTGGTATTCAGAATCATACTGGAGACAGAACATATCCGTCAGGGTTAGCTCACCATTGATAGCCTTACCCTCCAGGAATTTGTCTGGTCTGCTTTAAAAAATGAAGAAGCACAAGAAGGGACAGTAGCAGCCTTGAAGACAACAGTCAGTCAGAAGCAGCTGACTGGATGGGATAAAGCCAGCATGCTATTTTCTCTGTAGGTGGGTCACCGATGCTGTCCCTTCTCGTGGTTCTTTCTTTTGAAAGCAGAGCAGACAAATCCACGCCACCCTCCCTGGCATCTTGCCCCCTTTCCCTCCCAGTGAACAACAGTGACCTAACTAGTTTAGCAGCTGGACCACCCCACCCTGCACTACTCTGCTTCAGCAGCTAGTACCAAGACAGCAGAATGAACAGGCACACTGGTCACCAAGTCACAGTCTTCCCCACAATGACGAGATATATTGCATTTCTATTTAAATTCTAAAACTTCTTTCTAACTTTGCACGTATACATATACACATAAATCAGTATATGCAATTATTGTTATTATTATATCAATGTCCTTCCTTGTCTTCTGTTTTGTTGGTGAATTTCCTCTTTGTTGGTGATGTGTAAGTGGACCCGCTAAATCCAGCTAAGAGTGAAGCAGATTGCTTTCCATGTGGAAGCAATTTTAAATTCTAATCTCTGTGTTTTATAGTTCTGGCATATTCCAGCCTAGAGTAAAGTATACCTAACTCTGGGCTAGAATGTGTTATAATTATAAAACACAGAGATTAGAATTTAAAATTGCTTGCAGTCTTATCTGTTTCAGATACAGAGTGTGGTGCTGTTATCCAAAGAAAGGAAAATACAGTGAATGCATTTTGCAACACGTGCCTCTAAAGTATGGAGAAGTGATCAAGAGCAAAGTAGCATAGCTGTATTATCTACAGTTATCACGAACAGCTGGAGTTTTGAAACTCGTGCAGGCAAACTGATCTGTTAATGACTTGAGATGGTTAACAAAACGATATAAAGCTGAAACACGGTGGAATTTCTTTGGCGTTTAGACAGGGCATTAGTTCTTCAAGATAATCCTGAATCAGCAGCACACCTGAAATGAGCATCCTTAATTTTGCAAATAAACCCACAGCACAGCTGATCATAGTGGGTTGGGATCAGTATTAACATTGTTCCTTATTTAGCTAACCCCAGATGTCAAAAGCCAATCAAATCACAATATTTTGCAACACTTCCAGAAAACGTTTCTGCTTTATAACAATTTTTTTTATGTGCGTGGATTCGGGGGGGGGGGATGTAATCCCATGTAGACCAGCTTTCGAGACTGTTCTCAGAATCGGATTGTTAAAATGCGTCCTCAAGTGTGCATGTGCCACCGAAAAAGCCGCACTTTTCAAGATCTTGGGTAGCAGTTTGCAGTGTGCTATGAAAACATTGTCCTGTCCAGCAGTTACAGGGATGAAATAGATTGTGGCTGGTTGTTGAGGGGATCCGGTGTAAAGTAATACATTTGCATCTCTCCAGATCCCCTGCTCCTTACATGCAACAAGTGCGAAGTTTACTTCCTATTAGAGTGTGTACTTAATGCATACTAGGTTTTCCTTCTTTGGTCACTGTAGTGTGACTGCACTCCTCCCTGGGTGTGGTTCCTTCCATAATTAATTGGAAACTAGCTGGAACCTTAGTCTTACCTGCTAACAAGGCTTAGTTGCTCTGCTGAGCTGTTGATCTGTTGCTGACTGATAAATGCAACTTTTGAAATTATCTTGACCCCTGCTGGCTTCCTGGTATTAGGGCAGACTCAGTGTAAAGTATCTTCACATGGTCAGTATCCTTCTCAAACCTACGGGACACTACAGTGATGCTGGCCCAAATCCTAGCTTGGCACAGTTGCATGTGGAGCAAAGCTGTAGGAGTTAAGGGGCATGGTTGGGGTGACTGTCAGGCAGGGCTGGTTTACCCATTAAGCAAAACAAGTACATGCTAAGGGCATCGAGGGAAGTGGGGCACCACAGAAATTTTCCATTCCTAGATTTTTAACATTCATGGTCTCTAGTTGCTCAGCTGAGTGTTCATTTTCTCAGCTGTATATTTTAAAAAAAATCCCAACAGACCTTCTGATCGGCAAGTTCTAGGCTCTGTGGTTTAACCCACAGCACCACCTACCCATAATACCTACCCCTGGGATGTGGCTCAGGGATGGAAACACTGTTCAGCCACACATTCCCAAAGGTGGATGTGGCGCTAGGAAAAAGTATGAAGAGCAATGGATAGGGCCCTTTGTTTCAACCCCACAAAAGGAAGATGGCTCTATGTACATCGTCTTCCACCCAGGCCAGCAGGAGGCATGATCACAGCACATGTCCCAACCAGGCAAAAACACTCAAGGAGGATGTGGAACAGGCTTGGTGAGGCTATGTGGACTGGGGAGATTCCCAAGGCCTGGACAGAGAGGCCTGAAGGGCTCAGCTTCCTCACTCTTTCTCTTGAGCTGAAGTGCAAGCAGCAATTCTGGCTCTGTGCAGTTCCCCCTGCCTACTGCATCTGCAGACAGCAGGATCCGTGCAGCTGAGCCGCCTAACAGCTCAGCAGGACCCAGCTGGTTCTGGTGTTGCACAGTGGGACGTAGAGCCTTCACACTAGTCCTCTTGTTATCTTCAGCGTGAAAGCGGAGGGCAGGCGGCCATCCTCCCTTCCAAGTCCCCTTTCATGTGGAGGCACAGCTGTGCATTCCCGCAGCATCAGATCTGGTTCACCTGATCCCCCCTCTCGCCGACTTCCACTTCTGATACTGCGTGGCGCCATTCAATTAGTTTCAATTGCTCCCAGCCTGTGTCATTATAGCCCATGTGCTGGGATGCTGTACCTTTGAAACTAGGCTATTTCCCCTCTGAGTTTGTAAATATTAAGGTGACCTTGGGCACTGTCTTCACGGCTGCGTTTCATCGCTATGTGTCATCCCTCGTCTCTTAGATAATTTCTCAGGGACGTTTCATTTCAGGTCTCTGCCATCAGAAGGCTTTTTAGAGGAATAGCTGTCAGTGATTTTAAAAAAGGAAAAAGAAAAAAAGAGAAAGAATCACTGCAGCCTCAAAAACATGCCACTGCTGTTTCAGTGGAAAACCACAGGGGGTTGGCAAAATGGGAGGCTTCATCGAACTCAACCGTGGATGTTTCAAACAGCATTTTCCAGAAGGTTGCTGCCTGCTTGGGATATAAGGCATTTTGCACTGCCACCTACTGCTGCAAAGATGCACTGCGCTCCATTTTAAGATGCTGTCCCACACTGTATTGTTTACTTGCGGTTTTATTTTTCATTTCTCAACATTGCAAAGCTGGCACTTGGCCAGATCATTTAGAAGTCAGGTGAAAACGATTTGCAAGTAAAACAGTTGTGCTCTTAGTAAAGGTGCTTAGGATTAGAGAGGAATGGTGCTAATACATTATTAATCTTCGATATTAAGGTCTAAATGTTGACAAAAAGGATGCGCGAGACATTTGCCTTCGCTCACCTCCACTTATGCAAGGGGAATAGCAAATTCTGTCTTCTTCTTTTAATTCAGCAGGAGGAAAACCACTTTAACTAACTTCCTTTGCCAGTTTGTCAGCAAGTTAACCAGTTTCTGCTGCCTTTCCTGAAAGAGTCTACACAGAGATGTGCGATGCGTATACAATTAAAGTCATCATGTCATCTGCTGCAGATTTTATTGCTGATACTCCAGGCTTGGATGTTAGGGCTTATTGGACAAGAATCTGGATTGAAATCTTCTTCCTCCCACCCCCAATTTACTTTTGTACAGGGCTGAAATCAGCAGCTGGAATCCTTGGGTAGCTGCCAGGTTTCCAGGAGGGCCAACCGCTGATGCCGACCTTGGGCCCCCCATTTTAAAAAAGAAAGAATCTGGTGCAGCAGTCTGAACAGAGCCGTGTGACTGAGTCTAGCCACTGTAGCAATTCCCCACAATGGACCTAACACAGCATCCTTGAGGCATTGTGGGAAATTAAAATGGTGGCTTCGCTCAAGTCGCCTGGGGCTGCTTGTGTTCAGCAGTGGAGCATATGCTTGTGTTGCCCAAGGTGGGCACACTTCCAAGGGTGCCCTCCCAGGTGCAGGATAGCCGCTCTGGTGCCAGGGGTGGAGAGAGCCACCCATGGGGCGACATTTGACGCACTGCCCACCCCCGACTCCCAAGCCTCCCCCAGCTGTCAAAATGAAGGGGGAAGGGAGGATTGTCGCCAGCAAAGCAACACAGCTCTCCTTTTTTTTTTATAAAATTTTTATTAGGGTTTTTACATTACAAAATAGAAAAAGAAAAAAGAAAAAATACAAAATAAAAGTAGTTAAAAACAATCAATCTTTTCATCACATTATTTTTCATTTACTTGTTTCCCGGACCTCCTCATACCTCCCTTTTTTGTATTCCAGTTCAATTTATTAGCTCAGCAGTTTCTTTCCCTCTTTATTCTTCCCTGATCTTTAATCTTACGTTATTATAACATTAAATGTTTACTTATGAAAAACCATTTTTTCATATTCTTTTATACTATTACAGCTAGAAACCACTTAATTTCAATCCAACATCATTCTAACATTCATTAATTTTACAATATCTCTGTAAATAGTCTTTAAATTTATTCCAATCTTCTTCCACCGACTCCTCTCCCTGGTCTCGGATTCTGCCAGTCATTTCTGCCAATTCCAAAGCAACACAACTCTCCGCCCCGCTTCCCCCGACGGCTCAGGGTAGGCTTGGGAGTCGCAGGTGGGTTCATGCCAAATGTCACCCCGCTCAGCTAAGACACCCACGGTGGCCCAACCCCACCACAACCTCCTTCCTCCACCCCTGCTTGTGGTGCTGCTCACCGCACTGCCACCTGCCATCATCCAATAAGCACCAGATGATCCTAAGCAGGGAGAAGGGGGGTGCCCCAAACTTTCTGGGTGCCCTGTGACAGTGAGGGGAAGAATGCAAGCCATTGCAGAGTTGTCTCTTTAGTTGCCAGATGGCACACCTAACCAGGGACGGCCACTCCCTCCCGCTGCTGCCCTTCCATCAAAGACTTGCTCGCCAGAGTCACGTGGAAGTGGCTTCTAGTGAGATTTCATGGAACTCCCACAGGAACTTGCTGGAAGCCGCTGTGACTGCTTCTCCTCGCTTCCCCAGGGGATTCTGCCGCTTGAGGCAATTGCCTCAGTCTGCCTCCTAGGTGGGCCAGCCCTGTTCTTACTTGGAAAGAGACTAGATTTTCTACTGGGAACAAGTGCAAGGTAGTAAAATTACTACTAGGGGCACTATTGGGTTGTTGTTTTTATTTGTATTAGGTATTTTGTGGTTTTATATCTTGATTTCATTCTGTGAACCGCCCTTAGACCCCCGGGTAAGGGCAGTATATAAATTCAATTTTAAAAAGTAATAATACTCTGTGCCTTCTTTTAGAGAATGCCAGTGTGGTATAGTGGCTAGAATACTGGACTAGGACCTGGGAGACCAGGGTTCAAATCCCTGATCAGCCATGAAATTCACTGGATGACTCACAGGGTTGTTGTGAGAATAAAATGGGAAGGGGACTGTGCATGCCGCCATGACCTCCTTAGAGCAAAGGTGAGATATAAACGTGATAGCTAGATAGCTAGATAAATAGATATAGAAGAGACCAAACTATACAGTCATAGAACTGTAAAGTTGGAAGGGACCCCGAGGGAACAGAAACGCTTGCTGTAGTGTTTTGCATTTGTTAATAACTATATTAGTTGGAGGGGTTAGCAGAGGAGGGTGGAGTCTATCAGAGTTTCCTCTCCCAGAGTTGGCGAGGAAAATTGAGAAGGAATCTGGCAGTACAGTGACATCTAGAGTCAAGGAGCCTCCACTACTGATCACTGGTACCAGGAAACTACTGCATATTTAGCCTACCTACTCACTGAAACACGCACACATAACTCAGTTGGTTAGAGCATGGTGTTTTGTCATGTTTTACTATTCTGTTGGGAGCCGCCCAGAGTGGCTTGGACAACCCAGTCAGATAGCCAGCATACAATTATTATTATTATTATTATTATTATTATTATTATTATTACACCAAGGTTGCAGGTTTAATCACTGTATGGGATAGCTACATATTCCTGGACTAGATGCTCCTCAGGGCCCCAACTCTATAATTCTATATGACATGCAGCTCCATTATTACATAAAGCAATTTAAGATGCAGCATTTCAATCTTGAATGGGAATAAACATACAGAGGCCTTGTTTGCATGAGAAAGAAATTGGCTATTTCCTAACTAAAGTGCCCGTAAATAATTTGAATTATTTTAATTTTGTTTTTATTTTCTTACTTGGTTTTTTTTAAAAGAAAATAGTTTTAAAAGATTATAAATAACAACCACTTTTTGTTTTGAGTCTTAGAATAATGGACATAGGAAGGTGCTGGAGCAGTAACAGGAAATTATTAGTACTAGAAAACTGGCAATGAAATCCTTATCTAATACCTATCTACTTACTACCCATTCAATGGGATTTATTCTCAGGCGAGTGTGTACTGGATTGTAGCCTGAAAGCTGCAATAGGCACACCATGCTAGAAATATAAGGCAAGGTAGATTCTTTAAAAGGAACAACCATTCTCTCTGAGTATGATACATTCCATTCCTTTGATGCCAGATGAAAGGGGTTTTTGCTACTGAAGATGTAATAATCTTCCATGATGATGTATGTGCCCAAGTGAGAATGCTAGCATTTCCATTTTCTGGAAACAAACAGTTCAGAAGCTGTGGTAGACAAGACCTTGCAGTTTTTCACATCAACGAAACTAAAGAAGGCCACATTGCCTACAAGAAGCAGAGATGAGCCAAACACCCCTACCCCAATGATTCTCCATCAATTAATGAGAAAGGGAATTGCATTCGAAAATTATCAAAGGGGGGAGAAAACATGGGTGAAATTTTATTGGGTGAGGTGTAGGGTTTTTGATGCACTTGCCTTATTTTTGAGGCGGTTGGGGAGTATTTGCGAGTGTCCTTTCATTCATTCTACAAATAATCTCTCCAGCAGTTTGCAGTCTGCAGCCTTCCTGGATGCCTAAGAGTTAATGATAGCCCATGGGAAGAAGTCACGAGGTAACTGCTCCCACAGGGCTTTTTTCATATCAGGAAGTGAGAGCAACCAGGGAGGCTGCACAGTGCTGGAGAAATGATTATTGAGTTCACCCTCAGTCACTTTACAATGATATAACATGTTCAAAACTATTTGATTGGCTTGGCCCAGATCTTCAATGCCTACTCCTGAAGAGGAGAAGAGGAGGAGTGTTCAGTGGGGTATGACCAATGGTGGTGTTCAGTGGGGTATGACCAATGGACCCTAGGACCATTCAGTTGTATCCAGCTCAAGCCAGACAGCAAAGAGGTGTTCTGGTGGCACCTCGCAAGGGCCTCAAGTGCTGGCCTATCATTCAACTTACTTGCGATTTCCTGCTTGTACTTCCTGCCAGTCATGACGAAAGCCAATCTGCCAAATCACACCCAGAGATGGACTGTGTGGAAAAAGAGGGAAGCACATGGCCAATCGGGAAATCTGGGGGGCGGGGGGGGGGAGAGACTACTCAGTGCTCCAAAGAAGCAGCCAGCCAAAGCTGATTCTCAACCTAGAGCAGGCAGGTGGGATGCCACACCAAAGAAGGCTGACAAGGGAGGGGCAGAGCTTTTATTGTGATGCCAGTGCCACCTCGTCTCAGCATGGCATCCTGAGCATCTTGATGTCAGTGTGCTCCCTGCACATGATCCCTATTTCCAGAGTCACCTGAGGGAGATCCAATCCACTCCCTGCTAAGAACATGTTTGAGCTGTGTTTTGTTGACAGCGGGTTCTGTTCCATAGGCCCTTGTGGTGGAGAATCAAGGGCTTCTTTGAGGCAAATCACAAAAACAAGTTGGGAACCATTGGAGGGCAGCAAGCTAGACCACGCTGCCAGAATATAGAGAGCAAAAGAGAAACGAGAACATCATAAACCACTGACTTTTACAACTATGCTTTTCCGTGGCTGTCTGGATTTGGACAAGGGACTCCAGAACTTGATCTCTGACCTGTTTCGTTTCCTTTCCAGAGCCGAAAGCAAGCTGCAGGTTAGGACGATCTGCATCCACGTCAGGTGTGCCTCCTCCCTCCGTTACTCCTCTCAGGCAAGCCAGCGATCTGCAACCGAGCCAGGTACCATCGTTAGTCAATCGCGAATGACTTCCTGTGATGCAACATGCCAAATTTTCCCACCTCTCTGTGTGTCTGTCATCTGTTGCTGTAAATTGTTCTTCTGTGTATTTGGTTTGGTTTCTGTTTGTATGCCTGTACATGTGCGTGTCTCTCTCTCTCTCTCTTTTATAAGCAAAGAAATTCTACCCTCTCCAGTACCATGTCAAGACTTTCTTTGCTGTTAATTCATTTTAAATCTCTGTTTGTCTCCTCTTCATTCTGTAATATAAATGTGCTGACCTTTCATACTCTATATATTAGCTGAATGCTGTGCGCGCTTTTTTTTTGAGGGAAAAAATGATCCTGTGGTATATTTTTTTATCAACAATTTATCAATTTAATTGATGCTGTTTATAACATATATTTCTTTTAAATATTTCACGTACAACTTTTTTTTTTACTTTATTTCTCACTGACTTTGTATATACCATTTGAACTTTGACTTCTTGTATTGTAATTATACGTGCATCTGTTTTGAGCTTGGTGCATGATTAGCAGTCATATAGATCTATCTGTCTGTCTATACATATATATACATACATATATATATATACATACATTTTAGCGAAGCTGCAAAATATTTTGTTTTCTGCATGTGGCAGCTCATTTTTCATCAGCTCTTGCTTCTATATAATAGTAGTGGGACTATAAATTAATATATTGCGTTTTTATAAAAAAAACTTGCAATGAGCAGGGTATATATCAGGCTTCCTCAACCTCGGCCCTCCAGATGTTTTGAGACTACAATTCCCATCATCCCTGACCACTGGTCCTGCTAGCTAGGGATCATGGGAATTGTAGGCCAAAAACATCTGGAGGGCTGAGGTTGAGGAAGCCTGGTATACATTGAAGTCCCATATATTGTGAATGTCAGGGGGTGCAATGTGCTCTCTGCAAACCACCTCACTAATGGGTTTTCCTGTCCGCTAGGTGTTATTGGGCACTGGCCAAGGCCCACACTACTGTTGAAGGCCCACTGCTAATTCCAGAAGCCTCCTGGTCCCACTGCTCCTCCTCCTGGTTTTTACTGCCTATTTGCTGGACCAGAAGGAGGAGATAAATTAGCATCCTTTGCTTGCTGTGCACTTTGCCTTTGGGTGGTTGGGCCCTGGGGGAAATGGTGACTGAATGGGCAGTAGGAACAGAAGCAAGGAGGAGATGGGTCTGCTGAGGATATCCTGCTGAAGGTCCCTCCAAGACCCTGAGCCACCACAATCACACAGGCAAGTCACCTAGGGGCTCTGGGCATGCTTAGCTCCCAAGAACAAGAACATCTCAGAAAGCTACACAAATAGAGATGGTTCCAAAGCAGACTTTCGGTGAACTGGAAGAGAAAAGTTGTCCAAAGCAATTTTTATCTTCCTTTCTCAAAACATGTTGGGAACTACATCAGTTTGTGCAGCTGACAGTTAAGTTCTTGGATTTCCCAGTCCCCCCCCTCATAGCTGTTTTGTAATCTTCTCTGTTGTGTTAGTTCAGGTTTTGCCCTCACTACAATATTGTCTCCAAAATGAACCTTCCAAGCAAATAAGTCAATTCAGCTGGGCTCTAACTGTTAGAGTAAGTAAAGGATACCTCTTTTTCTGGGTTAGCAGACAGGGTTTTCTCTCCTTAAGCCTATCTACATAGCCCCACCCTAGAAACTTAGCTTACAAATGCAGCAGTAAAAGGTGCGCAGGTGCTGAGATGTCCAAGTGATCAGCACTGCTTCACAGGGTATCTCACATTTGAATGCTCCATTGTGTTAAAAACAGAAAGCTAGCTCATTAGGCAAAGGGATGGCTTGGAACTTTTCATGCCAGTGTACTAGTTTTCTCTTTGCAAGGAGGTTTTGGTTTTAGCAAGGGGGATTCAAATGTGGTATTCCCCACCTATACTATGAAGTGGAAGAGTCCTTTATAGTTCTACAAGAGGGAAAATAGTAGAGGTTCAGGGGATTGGCGTTGTGAAATGGAGAGGGTGTCTAAACAGCATAGCATCAATTACAAGGAGAAGTGCCTCTTCACCACAATTATGAAACTGGCAGTGAATATGTTTAACAAAACAAAGCCTTATATTTTTTTACACTGAGCTGAAAGTTCATCCCATTGAACTTTCAGTTCAGCACTAATGATACCACCTTAGCATTCCGCTACCTATTTTGCTGCATGTTTACACCAAGCCATAGTCACATTAGAGAATAGGATGCAATGTTGAGAAAGTAGGTAGGTAGGTAGTTAGGTAGGTAGGTAGGTAGGTCGGTCAATAGATAGATAAATCGTGTTTAAAAACTACCCAGTTTAAATATTACTACTTACAATATATTACAAAGATTTCACAACTGCAGAGGCAGCAGAGAAGTCAGTAGAATAATCATTCTATGTATATAACTTGAAGAAAGATAAGAAGATATGGATATTTAGCTTTATTAGATGAATGTCGAGATCATATCAAGTAGTGTTTTACGTAAGTGCAAGATTTAAAATATAAAATTACTTACGCAGCAATCCAAAACATGCAGCATGTTTAGGATTGAGGAACTGGAGGAACAGGGACTTCACTTAAGTGTTATTAGCGTCTTTTCTCAGACCCAAAGTATGAAGGCAATATTGGAATCCTTCCCCGCGTCTCTTTTGTTTTGCTTTCGTGAAACTAGAATGTTGCAGGAACTCTAAAGAAATGCCACATTCTGGCTGGATTCTAGCAAAATCTTATCCGGATGGAAGGGAGTAAAAGGAACACAAAGCTCTAGCCGTTTGATAGCATCCTATTGTTTGTTTGTACTTCTGAATTTTCAGAGCACTTGGTAAGATTACAGAGCAGTGAACCCTGGTGCTGTGCGTAATGCCTATGGATTGCTGGGGCAATGCAGTTTTCTCTGTGCAGATGCCATTTAACTTTGAGGAATAGTGACTATAGGGCCCCATGTGCATGCCTTCATGTAAGTGGGAGATATGCACTAGCCTAACCTCTAAGGAATGGGACATGGGTGGCGCTGTGGGTTAAACCACAGAGCCTAGGACTTGCTGATCAGAAGGTTGGCGGTTCGATTCCCCGCGACGGGGTGAGCTCCCATTGCTCGGTCCCTGCTCCTGCCAACCTAGCAGTTCCGAAGCACGTCAAAGTGCAAGTAGATAAATAGGTACCGCTCTGGTGGGAAGGTAAACGGCATTTCTGTGCGCTGCTCTGGTTCACCAGAAGCAGCTTAGTCATACTGGCCACATGACCCAGAAGCTGTACACCGGCTCCCTCGGCCAATAAAGCAAGATGAGCACCGCAACCCCAGAGTCGGTCACGACTGGACCTAATGGTCAGAGGTCCCTTTACCTTTACCTTTAACCTCTAAAGACCAGCTCTGTGTGTTGACTAAATACTTGGGCAGTATCCAATTAACATGTTCCATTAGCTCAAGGATTTCTGCTTGTGCAATGGAACTTGCCCCTCCTCCCACCCAATACCCTCTAAATCTGTTCTAGGTGTTCCCCCAACCCTCCAGGGAAATTTTGGGGAGGGCACAGGGGGCACATGGGGGAAACTCTCATAAAAATGAATGGGACTCCCCCCCCCCAATGAAGAGGTCAGGCACAGGGCGTTGAACCACAGTGTGGGGGTATAATAATCCCTAAACCTAGCAACTAGGATCTTGAGACAGATTCGACCCACAAGCAACCCCACAGACCTGCTCGTTTTTTAGCAGACCAACAAATGGTACATCACCTTAAGTCAAGGTTCATCAAGTCATTTGGGCACTTAAGGCAGCAGATCTCACTTCTTCTTTTTAGCTGTGAGAAGAAGAAGAGTTTGGATTTGATATCCTGCTTTATCACTACCCGGAGGAGTCTCAAAGTGGCTAACATTCTCCTTTCCCTTCCTCCCCCACAACAAACACTCTGTGAGGTGAGTGGGGCTCAGAGACTTCAGGGAAGTGTGACTGGCTCAAGGTCACCCAGCAGCTGCAGATCTACCGCTCTTAACCACTACACCTCTCTGGTGAGGTGCTGGTGAGAGCCAGTGTGGTGTAGTGGTTAAGAGCGGTGGACTCGTAATCTGGTGAAATGGGTTCGCATCTCCGCTCTTCCACATGCAGCTGCTGGGTGACCTTGGACTAGTCAAACTTCTGTGAAGTCTCTCAGCCCCACTCACCTCTCAGAGTGTTTGTTGTGGGGGAGGAAGGGAAAGGAGATTGTTAGCTGCTTTGAGACTCCTTAGGGTAGTGATAAAGCGGGATATCAAAGCCAAACTCTTCTTTCTTTCTTTCTTTCTTTCTTTCTTTCTTTCTTTCTTTCTTTCTTTCTTTCTTTCCTTATTTTCACAAAGTTGTCTGATTTATTCCCATCAGTGGCTGGTGGAGCAGGATGGAGTTGGGTGGTTCTGGTAGCCTAGGCAAGGTGGCACGGAGTGTCAGATAGACAGCCACTGCACCCAACCCGTGCCATCTTCCCCATTGCCTCACCCCTCCCCCTTTTGGTACCCGGAAGTAACCCCAGCCAGCTAAGCTGTGCCACTCCTTCCCACCCTGCCTCACTGACTATTACTGCTTTCCTGCACCAGTCCTTCATAGTTCCATTTGTAGGTCTGAAAGAACATGTATAAGTAGCAGCTAGGGAGTAGGAGGACCTGTCCATTTTGGTTTTCTCAGTTTCTCATTTTTCCAATCTTAAAATCAGCTCTCCACAATTTGCAGATTTTTCTGCTATAAAACCCTCATGGGAAATTTTCAGTACTTTAGTGCAAACTTCTCCTGATAAACAATCAGTGGTACCTCTAGTTACGAACTTAATTCGTTCCGGAGGTCCGTTCTTAACCCGAAACTGTTCTTAACTAGAGGAGTGCTTTCGCTGATGGGGCCTCTTGCTGCCGCTGCACCACCAGCAAACAATTTCTGTTCTCATCCTGGAGCAAAGTTCTCAACTCGAGGTAACTCTTCCAGGTAGTTAGCAGAGTTTGTAACCTGAAGCGTTTGTAACCTGAGGCGTTTGTAA